TTAGTGTTGTAAAAATTATAATTGTTTAATTTGAAATAGTTTAAGTTTGTAAAGTGGGTTTCTGAGATCAACATAATATCTATTTGTATTCTATTAAAAATATTTCTAATTCTTGCCTATGTTGAGCAAGACCATTGGCATTCCAGATTCCAATTATTAATGAGTTACTATTCATTTTAATTTTGAAGCGACGGTGGTTAGTAAATTTAGTATGATACTAATTTGTCCTACTAAATCCTTTATCATAGTTTTTAGCTCAGTAATGTCGGAATTAGCTTGTTGCTGGTTGCAGACATTTGGATCTGGGATAGTTTGGTCTATTGGGTTTGTGGCTTGCGCGTACGATTTATTAGATTGAACATATGACGGTCTGTTTATAGTATTTTCTGTTGGATAATATCTGGTGCGAATTGGGGGAAATCTTTGAGCAAATAATTGTTTGTATTCCTTACAACCTTTGTAGTTTGCTGGGTGGTTTTCATTACAAAGTACGCATTTGACGTTTTTGTTGATGCGATCTGTCCATTCGCATTTTTTACTGGATGATCGCCAGCACATTTCACACATCTTGCGTCTCTGAAACAATACGATTTAGTGTGACCATAACGTTGACATTTTGTACACTGTACAATTTCTCTTGTTGGATTTTTGGGCTCAATTTTAACTTTAATTCTATTCAAAAATTCTATGTTGTAGATGTCTTTGTTGTTAATGTTTTGTTCCAATTCTACCATAAACATATGCAGTGGAGCACGAGTAAATCTGTGCTTGATGTTGGCTATATACACAACTTTGTGTCCATGAGATTCAATTTCATTTTTGATGTCTTTTATATCGGTGCTGAAGTGAATATTTCTAATGACTACTTTAAATGTTCGGTTGGTTTGCTTTGAAAAGAGTGCATCTGTGTGTTCTAATTTTTAAAAGGTTCAAAATTTTGTTATATAGCTGTGCAGAACTCAACTGTATTCTGACTTGATCTGTACCAACAATTTTGTTAGTATAGTTACCTTTGGCGTGTGTTTCTAGTAAAATTGACAAAGGTCTGATGTCTTTAACATCATGGACAAAAATTGGCGGTGGTTTTGATACTACTTCTTTCTCTGTTGGCTCTTGAACTTCATTTAAAATTTCAAAGGAATTGCTGGTTAATGTAGGGTTTAACCAATACTCTGCAGGTTTATTTGCTTTATGTTTTTTGTACTTAACCTCAATCCATTCTTCGAAGCTCATGACTTTTGATCCTTGTTTGGAGGTCGATGGTTGTTGGTTGTGTGAAATTGACACAGGATGAACATTATCTAAACAAGATGAAGAATCGTTCAAAAGTGAGTTTCTGATGGGGTCCGGGTCTGCTTAGTTGGATTTTCTATATGAATTTTCACGCTTTTCCGAGGCATCGGTTTTGGAATAGTTTGTTCAATATCCATATTTTCTTGACAATTAATCGAATTTCCGTTCAAATTATTTGGTAAATTGGGACGTAATTTTTTTGTGGTTTGATCCGAACATGTTTGTAAATCTTCATGTAATATATTATTTGTTTTAGTAAGAGAAAGTTTGTTCATTGTGCCCCCATAAGGGTGGCACAAAAATGTGTAATGTCAACACACTAATTACTATACAAGTTAAGTACACTGTTATAAGAAATATCACTTATTTAATGTTTGTAAAAACTACATTAATTTCGTACTTTGATTATGGTTTACATACACAGTATAATAATTTGACGCGAGAGCATTCACTTTCACACGTCCGTCCGCGTCGAGGGTTCGACTTGAACTGTCATAATAAGAATCTTAAAAATTAAATTTATCACATTTGCATTTCTTAATTTGGCGCTACTGCGTATCAGATTGACTAACTGCGCTTTCAGAAGGGACGCTCACTACACTTAAAATAAATCTGCTTGCCTTCAAATTTGTTTTGGAAATAATAGATTATAATAAATTCTATTTACGTCCTTTAACAAGTATTCTTTTTTAAATTTTAACTAGCAATAATCAATAAAAATATCAATTACAGAATTATCAACTTACAACCAATTACTTATATATAAGGCGGTGATCCAATTCGTGTGGACCTAAAGAATTCAACTTTGGGGTACTGCTAAAAAGAGCAATTTAAATATAATACAAAGTGCACAAAAAAATTCCTGCGACAAATATTAAATAAAATTATACAATGAACTATTTGAAAATATCATTATTGCTAAAATGGCCTAAACATTTGGCCGACAATAAACTACCACTTTGGAAGTGTGTTGTACTAAAACCAGCATTGACCACTACAAAAAGTATTAATATTCAACTTTTTATTTATAAAACTTAAAAAAAGGAAATTCATAAAACTCTCTAGAAATAAAACTGAAAAGTAACTTATTACAAACAAATACACACGTAATTTTTCTAAATTTAATCCAAATTGCTTCATCAACTTGAAACGTTGAGAAAATATAAAATTAACAAATCGGATTTTTTTGCGAAAACAAACTTCTTCGGGAAGTTAAAAAAAATACAGGAGTAAATTCAATTTTGGCAATGATACAGAACATTTATTAAAATCCTGTTGAGCAAATGAAAGTTTTCACATGTAGATAAAGATTTTTTAATAATTCTTTAAAACATTTTGATATACATTGGTTTAGAAATGTTTACAGATTTTATGTTAACAATAATTGAATCACATTTAATTTCATACTTATGGTATTTTCAATCAATTTAGAAATATAATACAAAAGAGGCTGTACACTTTCGCATTCATTCCATAATACATTTGTATCTAATTTGTTGAGATATTATAATTATTATAATTTTAATCAATTTTACGAAAGAAAATTACCTAAGTTATTTTGAATATGGAGATTGTATAATCACTAACCTTTCGGAACAGGTTTCGATATAAAATATTAGCGCTTAAGAGAGTACCTATATAAAAATTCAATGCGTAAATGAGCATTTATGATTATTAAATAATCACGAAAAATACCTAAAATAAATTTGGAAATAATAGATAATAAAATCTTTTTACGTACTTCAACTAGTAAAATATTCTTAAATTTTTCCTCTCAAGCAAAAATGAATAAAAATATCAATTTAAATATTCAATTGGTTTACTATTCCTTAAAAACTCATTTATAGGAAAGTAACAAATATTACTTTTATGTTAGTTGAAAACTATTTTGTTAACAGTAAAAAAATATTTCCTAATAAATTTATAAAAAATATAATAAACACTCAAACTTTTACACCTCATATGTTTTCTTATAAAATATTACTAATAATTTGCTGAATACATATTTTTGTAAAGATATATTTTCACATATATTATAAACATCATTTAAATTGTTTTAGTATATTAAAAAACGTACGTAATCGTTTAAGAATCAAAATATAACAATAATCTATCATTAATATAAAAAATCTATGTTCATATTATAACGAAGATTGAAAAGTCGAAATGGACTAATACATATTTACATACAGAAAATTTGATTTTTTGAATAAAGAATATTTTTCAACATAATTTCTTCAGTAAATAGTTTTCTCGTATCTTGTTGTACAAATATATGATTAAAAATTAACTATTCAGATTTCTGGAATAAAAAATTAGACTCTTCTTGCAACAATCTCTCCCTGTATACTTATATTAGCTTAGATATAGTCGAAGTAATGCTGTATTTTTTTAATGTACTGATGTATTGTTTGTTTTTCGAAATTTGCATAAAGATTAAATAAATATATGAAATTTAATCAAATGGAAATTATAGTTCCCAAAATTAATTAAGAAGATAAAGGCAAAAGATATGCGTCCTTTTTAAAATTGCAATCTTTTTATGTAATAAGGGTAGTTTTATTTATTTCAGTCTGGTATAATTTGTTTAAATTTTGCTATAGATCTGCCCATCCATTACTAAAACTTTTTAATTGTCTATTTGCATTAAATATTATCTAGAATTATTTAAATTATGTTAACCAAAAATCAATCAAACAATTTCTAGTTTAAATTGATGGGTTTGTCCACTCTGTGAAATTTGATTCAACATAAATAATTTTGATTCAAATATTCAGCATATGTTATCTCTATTACATACTTATTTAATAATATATTCAATTATGTATACATATTCAATAACTTTTATATAAGTTTACACACACATTCCATAAAGTTGGACATTGTACATATAATATATTTTTTTATATAGAAACACATTCACAGTTGTACATTCATATAAGTAAAATAATTACACATTTACAATTCGCCATTTGCGAGTTCGTATTATTTTCACTATTTTTTCATAGTTTATGATTATTACCACTTTTAGAGTTCGGCAAGAAATCGTTGGCAGAAAAATGAACCATAATTCAGTTGAATTTTAAATCGCGAACTTTTGTTTTAAGTTTTTGCATTAAGCACAGTAAAACTGTAGATTGGTTTTAAAAATTTCAACTTATAAAAAACATAGAAATACGAAAAATCAAGAAAAAATCAGATGAAGAAAACAAAGTGATAAATCTGAATAATATTATAATAATCAAATAAATGGATTTCTTTATGTATACTAATTATATAGCTCTTCCAACAAAAAACTTCAACGATTTTGCATGATTCATACTAAGTAATTATCTTTTGTCCTTAAATTATCTATTTTGTTAATTATTTTTTCTGTTTAAAGTAATTTGTATGTTATGCATCCCTCATAAATTTGAGATAAAAATTTCAACTTAAGAAGAGATTCAGATTTTCAGTGAAAAAAATCATCACGTGATGCAGCAATGCTAGATAATTAAACTAAAAATTCATTGCAGAAAATCTAATTGAAATTGTGTATACTCAGATACGAGTCATAAACCGCAATAATACCAACAAATAAAATAAAAAAATTAAAATCAGAGTCATGAGAAATAAAAAAAATAATTAAGTATAATGATACTTAACAATTAAGGATAATGATACGTATAATTAACAAAACATTAGTAAGTTATTTCAGATCTTTTTACGCGATATTGTTTATGGTTTTTGATAGTTTACTATTTTGCAAAATTTTATATTTGGATATTTTTAAACACAACTTTCTTGCTGCGTTCCCATCAAAGGTGTTCGCACTGTCACCACTTCTCTGAATGGTCGACCTGAAGGATACACCGACAGACTGGACACTGGAGACACCAATGGGGACGTCACCTAATATTATAATGTTCAAGTTAGATCAGAATTATATAAATATATACAAAAAACTTCTTGTTTTTTCATTTAGTGATCTGTGAAAATGCAACGGAAGTTGCGTTACGCCCGAACTGTTCGTCATTCGCTCTCGATGAAATCATTTCAATACGGGCCGATTGAAATGTCGAGTGAATAGAGATCTTTCGTTGTATGCGCACTGGCGTTAGATCAGATTTATTTATTTTTCTCATATCTTAACAGCAATTAGAACCTTACGTCCTATAAGCTGTTGGGCTGAAACTTCTCCTTACTTCGTATTTTTAAATGGTAACCCCATGGTTAATCCATCCATATTTGATGATTTTATTATTAGAATTTATCTAATAGGACTGACTTTTTATGGATGCAGCAATGCCGGGCAAGGGCTATTTTCACTTGGAAACATATTGCCTATCTATATTTCCAAGTGAAAATCGTTGTCACTGCTACCGGACAATAGGCTGCTCGAAGTGGATATAGAACCAGGGACTTCTGAATCAAGAAGTCCCATCGCTCTTAACCCCCCGGGCGAGCCCATTTATATAAATGTATACAAAGAACTTGCTTCTTATTTTTTTCCAATTTACCCAAATACAGTGGTACCCCGTCTTACAAGTGTATTGAGATACGAACAGCCAAAGAAGCGATTTGCTGCTTCGACATAGCATTTGGTAGTACCTCAGTTTATGAAGCATGTTTTGAACTTTTTAACTCCACCACTTATAAAAATATTACAAATAAATAAGTGCCATGTCAGGCTTATTATAAGACTTCGCATTAATTTCAGGACATTAAGGATATTGTGGTATGATTATAATTTACCTAATTCAACAAAGTTTCGATAATTTGTCTAAATTTGTTTTTTTGAAACTTACCTTGTATTACTTTAAGTTCTACTATCAATTGTCTATATAGTTTTCTAAGTAAACACATACCTGTCTACAAGTCTCCATTTGCGTGAAGGTGCCAGGTGGTTCTCCACCATAGTCGTTCGCCACACTTCTTAGGGAGTTAACACTAGTTACTAAACCTACGTTTTTCAATCCTGAAGGGCTCTAAAAATAAATAATAGACATTAGTTGAGCAAGTGGTGAATCATGTTACACACTAACGAATACTGCTGGAACGTTGCGTCTAAATAAATATATAACACAAAATATGATAAACATATTTTATAATTAGAATTGATTGATATTAATTTTTGAATGTTTGATTCGTGCAAGTTTATAAGATAATTTCGCGAACCAATAGCACTGAAAAAAGATGATTTTATGTTAGATTTTTATAAATATTTTTTCCAATTTTATAGCATTCCGAATGAATCCCCAAAATCTGCAAATATCTCAATCGAAGAGATAAAATATTGATACCTGAAGCCTAGGCGGTGAAGTTCTTCTCCTTAAATCTTCATCGGATTCAGAGTAAATTTGTCCCGGTTTACTTCCTGGTCTAATACCATTACTAGCACTTCCCATTGGTATCTGCTGGGTTAATGGTTGTTTGTATTCTAGATCTGTAAGAAAACAACGATAGTTCAGAATAATTTATATAATAATAATATAAAAGCATGCAAAATATATTGAAATATAATAGTATGATAGATGTTACACACAAAAACTAAGACTTCCTTGAATTATCTTAATAGGTGCATGTAAAAGTAAGTAATTCTGACTTAGATGCATCAGATTACTCTGGTACTAGAGATTAATAAACCTACTGATTTTTATATGCAAATTTAGATCAAAATGTTGATTATTTTGAAAAAATATAAAACCTCACAATTTTAAAATTGCTTTGGTCTATTTCTATTTGTATAATTCAACAATTAGGTAATTATCCAATATATCTAGTGTTAAAATTTCCACTATTGGGTGGTATCGATGAGGAATCAGTAGTTTGCTCTTGCTATTTATAATAAAAATACCCTTATTACCTTTATCATAAGGTACCACATCTGGATTCCTTTCGTCATAAAGTGGCGGATCATCTCGCATATTCCCAACGACTAATCCTCTGCTGGCCACCGTAGTTTTATCTTTGCCACCACCGCCACCTAAACCTCGACCTCCAGCACCTCCACCACCAGTTACCAATACGGCAGATGGACGTCGAGCTAATAACTTCGGAAATCGTCTTCGAACAATAGATGCCCCAAATACGAGTAAAACTACTAATAGTATCATACATATTATTCCCAGAATTGATGATAATACTGCTGATGTTGATATTGCAAATCCTGATGCAGCACCTGAAAGTTGAACAAAAATCTCAAAAACTTAAATCTTACATTTTAAGATACTACAATGGGTTAAAAAACATTGTGATTAATAGTAGTTGAATTCCAATGATTGCCAAATTGATTTAATTTTTGCTTTCACTAAACAGTAACTAAAGCGATTTCCACTTGATGTATTTCAAATTGTGTTTTTCATACATCACTTACTTAATTATATTAATCTGCAAATCATCTCGCAACTACGATTAAAGATTTTATTTAGTTCAAGGTTAACTAACTTGTTTGTTTTTCAGCCAATTTCAACGTAAATCCTTCTAATTGGACAGGTTCACTACGCCCTCGCTGGTTTGCAGAATATACCAAAACTGCATAGGCAACCCCTGACTCTAGACTTCCAATTAGAAAAGTTGGTCGCAGAGATGATAAGTTTGCTCTAAGGAATCCAGTATTTTGATCGTACACTTCTAATTGAAATCTTTGGGTTTGGCCACCATCAAAACCTAGAACGAAACAGTAATATTGAAAAACCAGCTCCTTGTAATAAAACTCATAGAAATAAAAGAAGCTAATTCAAGAAAGAAAACTAATCAAAAACTTGAATATATTACAATATATTATTATCTTTTTTACCTTCCATGCAGTCAACTTCCAAAGAATCGACAGTCTGATTCAGCATGGAGCAATTATGTGGAGGATCTGGTCTTCCTGCAGCAATCACATGGTAGACGCAGGGCTCTCGTTGCAATCCTGCAGTATTGGCAGCCCAACATAGTACAGTACCAAAATCCATTTCACTTAAAGGTTGATACGACAACGTAGAACTGGATCGGTTTAAATTTACAGTGAATCTAAAAAAAAATCATTCTGGGTTGCATTAAATAGAACATGATTTCAGCACAGAACAACAGCTACAGATCGTAGACCAAAATCGCGGATTGATAAAATTTTTGACTAATTTCTTCTTATTAAGGTGTGTGATAATATGAAATATAACTTGAAGTTGTCTTCAAATATTTGATCTGATCTGAATAAATTGATAAATGGCATACCTTGTTCTAGGAACTTCTATGGATTCCGCACTGTTGTTGAAGGCCCATCGAAAGGTATTTGGTTTTGGTAATGATTCGACGTCGCAACGGATTTTAACAATTTCTTGGCGCGCCACACCATACACTCTTTTTTGTTCTGGCATGCAGATTGGTTTGTCTGAAATTTATATGCTTAAATTATACCATTTGAAGATTTTTATAATAAAATCCCTACAGCTTGCTTTGCCAAAAACTAGTCACCACTACTATCTATTATTATGAATTGAATGTTAATGGATCATTCAAGACATACTTAACAACTATTTTAGCAAAATAAATTAGGAGAAATATTTTGAAGAGGATTCACTTGAGTACTGCATATTTGCAACTCTAAGTATTGAACATACATATACATTTGCAAAATATACTTCAATAGCATTATTTTCAAGTCTTGAAAACCTTTGCAATGATGAAAATATTATTAATATAATCCCATTTATGATATCTATGATGAAACTTACACATTACTCTCAAAGAAACAGCTTCACTACTTCCATCGCCTTCTACGTTGGAAGCAACACAACTATAATTTCCAGCTTGATCCCGTCTAATTTTCTGAAGAGCCAAAGCATTACTTTTTGCTACTATGCCCAATTTTGGATTGTGGACAACTGGTTGACCCTAGAAAACCATAGAAACACAAATGAGAAAATATCAATAATAAAGGACATGCTTGAAAATATTTTTAGGTTTACTAATATTTCATTTATATCAGTATATTTTCTTACGTTGTGTTTCCAAACTACTTTGTAAGCATAAGGATTCGAATCCATTTGGCAATCAAAATACACATCATCGCCTTCTTCGATATCATCAGGGTTCATGTTGGCACCAAGAGAAAGATTCAGCATTGGCATATCTGAGAAAAAAATGAACAAATTATGATTAGCATTGTGCAAAAACTTAAGATTGTTCTTGAACTATTTTGCCAATCAGGGTCTGATAAACATGAAATATATTTAACTAATTAATACTTACAATAAACGTTAAGGACAATGGCATGTTGGAAATCCTTCATCCCGATGCCTACCATAGGATTTCCAGTGGCACTAATATTGTGGTAATATGGATGAAGTGCGGTGCATACTAAGGTTTTACCATTGTCTTCACGTCTTGGAGTAAATGTTAAAGTTGAAATTGATACATTTCCATCGATTGTATCCTGTTGAAATTAAAAATAAATACTTAGTAATACACAAAAAAACTCTTATACTAAGTGACATAATTTGAGTCAATAAAGGCAGCATTTTATATATTATTTAGTACTTTGAAGAATTTTTTGTACCTCACATGGATGATTTATCTCTATTATAGGTTTAGGATTATTTATGAATTATTTGATGAATTCTAATCTCTTGCTATATTTCGTAATGCTCATGCCTGAAAGTAACTATGAAGTACGAATAAAGGTAGGTAATTTTCTTAACTTATGGGCTGCAAATTTTTTTTAAATTATTTTGAAATCAAGACAAAATGGCTTGTGTGAAATATAACTCTAAAGTGTATGAGGTATATTTCACACAAGCCATTTTGTCTTTATTTCAAAATAATTTTTAAAAAATTTTGCAGCCCATAAGTTTAAAACATTACATTTCATAACTCTACTTTTATTCATCACATTCAGTTTTCTGCAACGTTCTAATTATAAATTATCATACTATGTTTCCATGATTTATTTTGCAGGCAACATAATTCGAAAGTTTGAGCAGAAATCTCTCTAATGAATAACGATTAACTTGTTTCTGAATAAACGTAGAAGCTACACGAGTAAATAATTATTACACGGGCACCTCATGCTGTATAAATAATATTTAACTAGAATAGTTAGTTTCACGGAATGGTATCGCAAATCAGAACTTCTTAAGTAGAGTTAAATGAAATTGCATACGGCAGCAGCAGGAGGAAGATTCATATTTTGTATGCATATGTATAGATAGATAGATACCTGTGGACTATATTGGCTTATTAATAATGGAGCTGAAAATGTTACTGTATAAAGCAATACCTAATCTGATTATTGATATAACTATCTATGAAAAAAAATCTATTATCACCAAAAGTTATCGTAGTCATCTTTCTTGTCGGGGTATCAGCTCACTTCCAGGAATTTTAGTTTGATGCACAAATTTGCAGTTTGCATCATTCGATGACAAACTAGTTTTAATTTTCATTATTAACTTCCCGAATGAGAAGTTTATGTTTTCATCAAAAAATCCGTTTCGCTAATTTTATGCTTTCTCGACGTTTCAAGCCATTCTGAATCGAATGAGACCAAATTTGGAAAAAGTATGTGTGTGTGTGTGAACAGATTTTTTATCGCAAATCGCAAAAACGACTGGACCGATTTCAAAAATTTAAAAGCCATTCGATGTATCTCGATGAGGACTATCGCTTGTCAGTTGCGATGATTTGCCAAGCTGTTTCTTTGTAATTTGAAAAAAATGTTCACTTTTCGTCCACATTTAAGCTCATACTACCGAATCGACGTTTAAAAATATAAATCTGTTTAAAAGATATTACTTGGTAATAATACTGATTAGTTTTAGGTGAAAATCTACCGAGCCGTTTTCTTGTAATTAATTGTTGAAAAATAAATTTAAGCCGATTTTTATGGAATTTTTTTAGCGATATATCTCATGGCCTTATAGAACTTAGTGAAATATTACGGCCTTACGACAAGTAGTTTAATTTTAAAAATTCATCAAAGTTTGAGAAAATGAGTAGTTTTCTTGACGTTTGTTAAAATTAAATTTAGATGATATGCTTGGTATAACAATAGAGTACTTGGTCTTAATGAACATGCTAAACCATGAAAGTCCTGCAAAAACTGGTTCAATTATAAAAATTGTTGATTTGTGAAAATTTGCTTTTAGAAAATACTCCGAGTTAACGTGTTCGTTCGTTTTTAAATATGTGTAATAAATCTACTCGAAATATTTTTAATCACTCATAAATTAATTTATTTTTTATTGATTAGGTCGATTATTTACACATATCGGGAAGTTCATGTAACTTGTCTCAAGGCAAAATACCAATATCAACTAGTTTTTTTAAGTTATAAGACTTATTTTATAATGTCATAAAGAAAAAATATCGCACCTGATCAAATATGATATATTAGCATTTCAAAAAGGCAATTTTATCAAATTTATCTAGAAGAGATGCTAATGATTATGGTACCATATACAACCATGCAAGTGAAAATTATTTTGTACTATTACATATTCCATTTATAAAAAGTTTTATTGCCATTTATTAAAAGTACTATTAAAAGTACTATTACCATTTATTTTGAGTATATTTTTCACATAGTCTGTACTTATGACATGTACTCATATCTATGACCCATATCTGGATCCTGTTCGCAAATCTAGTTCAAAGTTTCAAGTATGCAAAATTAACTCATTACAACTTACTTACTTACTATTCGTTTTATGCGATAGAATCAATTATTCTCGTAATGAATAAAGTGAAATATTTTATATAAAACTTAATGAACATAATGAAGTTCATAAAGTTTTCACCCAGTTGATTAGTAATGTATAAGTCAAAATGTCCTTCATATTACCTCAATATCCTTAAAAAAATAATGTTGCTTACATGCTTTAAGTTGATTTAAATTCAAAATCATAGGACAATTTCGTACTTACATTTTGGACATGTGTAGATAAATCAGTTCCACCCAGACTCCAAGTTATTCGCACAGGCGGCCGCGACCCCACAGATTGACAAGGAATTTCATAAGATCTGCCCGCAGATAAAGGTTGAGGATTGTTGGTTATCTCCACAGAAAGAGGACGCACTGTAAAAAAAATTGAAAAAAATATAAAAATTATTTTTTTTATAATTTTTGTATACTAATTTATAAGTTTATATTTGAGTATTTAATAGTTTTGAATAATATTTTTTATATATTAACATTTATTTAACTATTTTATAATCGTAAGTTTTTTCCCGAGATAATACCGAATTCTGTGGAATTTCTCAACATTTCTGAGAACTTTAATTGCTCGTTTCAGCATTTATGCAATGCTATAGTAGTTAGTAATGGACATTTGTCTTCTGTGAGCATAATGCGAAAGATTAGGTACCGACGCTATGGTTACTATAAAACGAGCATTAAAATAATAGGCAGAGAGCCTATTACTCAATTCAAAGTTTTAAAAATATGATATTGTATGATAAATCAATGACATAAGTGTGCCTTTAAATAGGTGAAGGGAAATACGGACAAAATGGAATATATCAATAAAGGGATACTTATTTGAAAATTTGATAGTTTTATTAACGTTTCCCCAACTGTATACCACAAAGAAATCCATAATCACAATACTGTCAGATGTTGAGCGTCATTGTCACAGTCTTATCGTAGTAACCAAACGGGAATCGCGCCTATGAAAGTCTATTTTGAGGCTGGTTTTATCATATTTTTCACCATCTCATAATAAATTAAACTAACAAAGTGGCAAAATAAATGTTGAAACTGAAGAAGCAGACACAATTTTATAATAATCTACTAATAAACAGCTTCGTACTAAATACATAAAATCCATAATCACAATTCTGTCAGATATTGAGCGTCATTGTCACAGTCTTGTCGTAGTAATCAATTCAAAATAAAATAAATGTAAATCGCGCCTTCGAAAGTTTATATCGAGGCTGGTTTTATCATATTTTTCATCAGCTCATAATTAAGTACATTAATAAAAAAGAATGTTGAAACTAAATAAGGATAGACAAACAATTTCATAATAATCTACTACTAAAAAGCTTCATACTAAATACATAATAATATTTATCGAATCGTATCGCAATTATGAATAAGATATCTACAAAAAATTAGAATTTTGGTAAATAATATATCACAATCTCATAAGGGCACAAGTGCTAGAGAAGCAAATAATAATTAGAACAAAATTCAGTGTTTTTATTTATGATAACAAATAAGAACTAGGTAATACTATGTGTGATTCCATATTTCTAATAGCTTAAATTTAGTTGTTAATAATTCTCTATTTATTTTTTGCTTGTTTTATTTATCATAGCGATCTATACAAAGTACATTGAGCAAACCAATTTTAGTGAGAATAACAATAATAACACAATATTACAATATTTTTTTATTTAATGAGTGATTTGTTTAAAATTCAGTTTCAATATAAGTTTCTATTGACTTAATTGCAATGAATTTATTTCATAGTGAATTATTTATATTTATAGGCTTCATTTCAAACAATTTATTTTATAAAACTTTGTGAGTAGGTAATTACTCGCTCTTGGCTACGTCTAGGAAGAAAATGATATTTTGCATTTTTAACACGTTTTTGTCATACTTAGCATCATAAAATAAAATCAAGTATAAAGTACTATGCTCTTAATGTACATTTGTTGTGATAATTTGTAGGACAGAAAGGAATAATTAAGAACTCTGAGAAAAAACAAGCTATTTTTGAATTTTGCCAATGTGTTTCATATTAAGTGAAATGTATTTTGTTCTAGTAAACAAGAAGGAAGGCAGTTACAGATATTATAAATTTATTTGAATTATCAGTTATCATCACGGTATTTCCGTCTTATATTTGTTAGTTATCAGAGTGCAATATAGGATACTACTCTCGTTATATTTATTAAGATCTCAATAAATAAAAATATTTAATAAATGTGTACAATATTTCTTGGGTATATATTTTTAATCTCGATAAATATTGTACATGTATAATATAAATATAGTAGGTATATATACATCGTTAGCTTTTCAAATAGGACAGTTTCCGACAACGGCTTGACGTTCACGAAGACAAACCATTATTGGCTCTTTGTGTCATCGATCAGATCCCTGTTTTTCCCCCAAGAAGAAAAACACAGTGTCAAGTAGGGAAAAATGTAAAAAGTTTTCTTTACGTTTTGCGACAATTGTTAGATACCGCGTGATACAATTTTTATTGATGCCCGATATTTTTATATAAGAACTAATCAAATTTTAAAGTATAACAATAAAAATAATAGAGTATTTATTATATATATTATAGGAATACATATTGAAGTTAGTATGTTGTGATACTATACTCTTATACATCTTTCTATTATTTTTTTATTAGCAGCAGTGATAATATTGATGAACAGATAAGCAAGAAAATAAATTAATTTGGGGTTTGAACTCAC